AATTCTCTTCAATCTCGTGTACAAACCTACCCTTGTACTTGCCCATTGGCCAAACACAATTTGAGGCTTCTGGTACATACTTCGGACGTACGTCAATCTCGTCGGGGTTCGTGTCGCGGTCGATTTTCCGTGGCATGTACTCATTAATGTCCATCGGACGGCGGGCAATCTGCGCAATCTCCTTCATCCGATTCTCGAACATCCGACGGCCGAAAGCTGCCCGGCAGTCGGGACAGTAGCCTACCTCACTCTTCCTTTGTTTCTCGCCACACTCGTTACAGCGGCGACCGTCGCGCTTTTCGCGGCAGGGGGTACAGTAGTTGTCTTTGCGATTCTTGTGCGGCATACGGCAGTCTGAACAGGTCTTGCCCTGATTGTCACGAGGCAGAAACTTTAGATGCAGCAATTCCCGACCACAAACAGTTTGGGTGGTTTGCATCGCACGTCGTCGGGCATATACTCCACGTAGCAATTCTCTTTGATCCAATGAGTGCATTCACACTCTTCCACGAAGTCGGGCTGATCAGAGGAACTGCCAAACCGTTTCAAGAAATAGTCGAACCGACCTTCTTTGTTTCCCCCGGCGTAATAAAAGTAACGGAACGACTTTGCGCCGGTCTTTAAGAAGAGGTTTTCTTTCAAAAGTTGTGCATACACTTGCCCGGGAGACAAAATAGTGCCGCCGGGGTATCCATATGTGAACAGAAAAAATGAATTGTCTTTAAGTAGTTTGCATTTTGGTCAAAAAAGGGAATGTAAATTACTTCTGGGAAGCGGCTGCCTTTGCTGCCCTGCGTTCCTCACGAACCTTCGCTGATCTTTCTTTTGCCTTTTGTTTCTTTTTTTCGCGATACTCAGGGTCTGTCTTATAGCGTTCATTGCTTCGCTTATTAATCTGGTCGCGTTCTTCCTTGTTGAGTCTGTGAAAACGCTCGCGAGCAGCAGTCCGAAGTTTTTCAGCATACTCTGTATCTTCTTTGTACTTCTTGGTTTGCTTTGACGCAGTCAGATTCTGTCCGACTTTCTCCATGTGTTCAGCAATCTGGGTCAGCGCAAATGCTTTTATAGTAGCGGTTAGCGTTTCGATGTCCATTCTTACTATTTATATTAGGTGTCATTTCTTTAAATGGTTTTCATTTGTCACAAAATTAAAAGTTTTTGGCGCGAGCACTTCAGACATCTGGCTCTGATGCGGATGCTGCTGCCTTCTTTTTAGCGTAGTAATTGTGCATGTAATTCTTGACCCTCGCTCTATAATCTGGGTCATTATGGTACTTTTCGCGATTCCGAGTTCGCTGCCTTTCGCGCATGATCTCTTTTCTTTCCTCAGGAATATTCTTATAGTAGAACTTGCAACACAAAGCGTGCATAGCTTTGTATTCGTCAATAGAAATATCCTTCGTCTGTTCCATTTAGTTTTAATGAGATAATTTGTGCGGGAAATGAACCAGAAGTTTATATATCTTCCATATAGTAAAGACGAAAGATGGCAAAGACACGCACATCAAGAAATGCTGGTAAAGTGATCAGTCTCGATGACGAGCCAGGTCCATCGAGTGCTGCGGCGGCGGTAGGTAGAGCGACGAGAAGCAAAGCACCCGCACCCGCACCTGCCACTCCACCACCACCACCTGCTCCGAAGCCTGCACCTAAACCTAAGAGGGCAGCAAAAGGTAAAGGCAAAGAAAAGACTGTCACTGTTGCAGATACTTCGAGACAGATCGATGCAAACGTGAATCTTGCAACCGACACACAGGCTGACTACGTGCGCAAGACTTCTTTCATAGCAAAGTGCCTGAAGGCTACCGACATGCAAAAGCTTATCAACCAGCCAGACAAAGTAATAGACTACATAGTGAATCGCTACCCAAACATGAATTCGCGCACAGGATATTTGGTAGCGTTTGTCTCGCTGATTAAGCACACTACTCTGCAGGTGACAGATGCGGTGCAACAGAAATATTACGACGCCATGATGTCTGCTGCAGGTTCGGCACAAGAGATAGCAAAAGATAATGCGCCGAAGGTTGCTAGCATCATGCTGAACGGCAAACCGATTCAATGGAGAGACGTGCTGGAATGCGAGAAGCGATTACGCAAAGATGAATTTGCAAGCAGAGACCATCTTTTAGTTGCCATGTATAGTATCATCCCTCCGCGCAGACTTAAGGATTTCTGTCAGATGGAGGTCATAAAAAGTCAGGCAGATTTCAACCATTCTGAGGAGCCGAACAAGATGTTTGTTAATACACGCAACAAGTATGTAGACATGTGCATAGGAAACTACAAAACAGCAAAGACGTATGACAAGTATGAGGTGAAATTGACGGGAGTTCTATTTGAAATCACAAAAACAAGCATGATGGAACATAAACGAAAGTGGCTGTTCCAGAACACAAATCAAGATCCCTACACTAGTGGTACCTTCTCTAAGTGTGTCACAGATACCTTCAAAAGAGTCCTGAAAGCGTCAATCGGATGTAATGCAATTCGCCATTTGAAAATCACTGCATTCCTAGCTACCAATCCTAGCATCAAAGCTCGCGAGGAGCTTGCCTATCAAATGGGGAATAGCGTGGACGTCCAAGCTTTTTACAACATAAGCACGAGCCCTGAAGAGCTGGCCGCGAAGGAGGCTCAGAAAAACACCAAGCTGCAGCAGATCAAAGACTTGCGTGAGCAGATTGATAAGTGCATAAATAAGATTGCTCAACTCAGTCAGGAGATTGTTGAGTTGTAGACAAGTCTTTGTGTACTGCTTTCATGTGGCGAGGCAAAGATGGTCTGGTCAACTCTTTGTCACAAACTGAACACTTGACCCGTTCTTTGTTTCTAGAAAGAACCTTATCTCGATTCCTCTCATGGTTCGCTTTGCTTGCAGCTTTAAGCTGCTCTTTCTTTTCCAGGTATCTCTGCTTTCGGTACATGGCTAGCTTGTCTCTGTTTGCTTCGCGATACAACTTGCGATAGACAGCAATTCTTTCCTTGTTGGCCTCTGAGTAAGATTTCTGCTTTTCAGCAATCAGATCTTTGTTAGCAGCATAGTACTCCAAGCTCTTTTCCTTGATCTGATCCTTATGACTTTCCCGCCATACCTTTTGCTTCGCTCGTTCTTTCTCTCGATGTTTCTGATAGTATACAGCCTTTTTAGCCCGCCCGCTTTCTTCATACTTTCCCCTTAGCTTATCCTTTTCATCCTGCTTACATTCTGCAGAATTACGTCCAGCAATTTCCGAGTTGTAACCATTCGTCACTGTATCAAACTTTCTAATCATCTGTCCTTCATAGCGTTTCAACTCTTCAATACTTTCACATGGACACCTCTCTAAAAGCTCAATATAAAAGCGTTCTTCACCAAGCTTTGAGATGGCCTGGTAGAATTTTGAAGAATTGCATCTTTCCTTCCTGCTATCACAACGATGCCTTGTCATCCGTTTGCACAATGGGACGGTGGTACTTCCTATGTACAGCAAATCATTCAACGTGTTTCTGATGACATAAATCTTTCCATCCCTGTAACAAACCATCTTGCTCCCTTTTACTTTCTTTTGCACAATTCCTTTAAGTGCTAACACATTGCGGAAATGTTGATTAGGCTTCCTAGTTTGCACTCAGAGGGTGGAAACGCTTACCTGTGTCACATTATCCGTGCTGCTGGCCGCTTGAACGTTTGCACAGGGGAAGGACTTCTGAAGGAGTAGTTGTTCCCATTCCTTTTGACGAGCATGATCGTCTTCTTCCTTGCGGACTCCTCCAGCTTGGACAGCTTCTCATGTGGGATATAGGAAGCCATCTGTGTCACAAAAACCTTGTCGACCAGCAGGAAAGACAGATCAGGATCACCAAGGACCGCTTGATTCAGAATTCCGGAGACTTTGTCGAAGGCATCTCGAAGTTCTTCTTCGTCCAGCTTGGTGCAGCAGAATCCAATCACGACGCAATTGTTCCCCACAAGCACGGCATCCACTTCCCTTTGTGCAAGAGTCCGGAGTTCAGGTCTGTTTCTCAGAGACACCCCTCGTTGACTGAACAGCTTCACAAGTGCCTCTGCAAACTCGTCCTCTTCCCCTTTTATGACATTGGTCCGCTCACGCCGAACAAGTTGAATTGTACTCTCCAGTTTCTGTGAATCGGACAGGTATGTTTGACCATCAAGTATGTCGTCAAAGTCATCACTGTAAGGAGCTTCTTCTGAGTCTATCTCACGAAGAGATCCAATGCCCTTGTTTCGTAAGTAATCTGATAAGGAAGCTTGGTTGCGAAATTTGACCTTCTTCTCAATGCCTGATTCTGGATCGACTATCCGCACCAACTTTGACAAGGGTCTGGACGCAGTCATCACAGGACCTCCTCTCCGTGGCAGTGCACTCTGTACCCGAGGAAATCCTGCCGTTCTTCCGAACAAAGTGCCTCCTAGGGATGCCCCCTGCAGATGACACACTCTTGTCTCCATCAGGCGCTGCACTTCACCAGATGGTCTCCTCTGGGGTTGTATGCATGTTCCCACGAACAAGTCTCTTTTTATGACAAAGTCTGGCACCGGATACTCCTCTTTCTCCAATCTGCCTGAGGTGTTTTCACGACTTCCTGCTGAGAAGATGCGTTTCACAGACCCGGAGTCCGCCCGACCGCTTAGATTTTGAGAAGATATAGAGCAGATTCAGAGAAAATTTCGAGGAGATCTAGGA